CTCCGTTTCTTCCTCCCCTTCTTCCCCTCATTCTACCCCTCCTTCTATCTCTCCGCTCCCTTGTCCTCCCTGCACCTCCTCCCCCTCCTGCCTTCCCTTTCCTCGGTCCTCTCCTTTCCCTCTCTTCTCCTCCCTGCCTCGCTCTCCCTCCCCCTTCCCCTTTCCCCTCCCTCTTCTCCTTCCCTCCCTCTCCCTGTCCCTCCCTTCCCTTTCCCTTCCAACCCTCTCCCTCCCCCTCCCCACTTCCCCTCTTCTCCTTCTCACCCTCCAACCCCCTCTCTCTTCTCTCTCTCTCTCTCGTGCTTTTTTCCCCCTCCTCCTCTCCTTCCCTCCCTTACCCTTCTCCCTACCCCTTCCCCTCTCCCCTCTTCTCCTTCTCCCTCCCCGCTGCCCCCTTTCCCCTCCCTCTTCTCCTTCTCACCCTCCAACCCTCCTCTCTCCCTCTCTCTTCTCTCTCTCTCGTGCTTTTTTCCCCTCCCTCCTCTCCTAAATCCCTCCCTTACTTACTCATCAATCCACTCCAGCCCAATCTTCGCCTCTCCCCTCTTCTCCATTCTCCCTCCCCCTCCCCTATTATTTCCCCTCCCTCTTCGTCCTCTCTTCAGCTCACTCCAACCCTCTCCTCTCTCTCTCGTCTCTCTCTCTCTTCTCGTGCTTTTCCCCTCACCCTCTCCTTCCCCCCCTTACCCTCCTCCCATCCCCCTTGCCCCTTCGCCTCTTCTCCTTTCTCCCTTCCCCCTCCCCCCATTCCCCTCGTCTCGTCTTCTCATCCCTCCAACCCCCTCTCTCTCTCTCTCTCCTCTCTCTCTCTCTCTCTCTCTCTCTTTCTCTCTCTCTCTCTCTCTCTCTCTCTCTTCTCTCTCTCTCTCTCTCCGTTCTTTTTCCCCCTCCTCCTCTCCTTCCCCCGTTCCCCTTCCCCTCTTCTCCTTTCCCCTGCCCCCTTCCCCCTTTCCCCTCTTCCCTTCTCACCTCCTCTCTCTCCTCTCTCTCCTCTCTCTCTCTCTCTCTCTTCATCTCTCTCATCTCTCTCTCTCTCTCTCTACTCTCTCTCTCTCTCTCTCTCTCTCTCTCTCTCTTCCTCTCTCTCTCTCGTGCTTTTTCCCCCTCCTCTCCCGCACGTGTACCTCGGGATGATGATGCCAAATCCAATCCATAGATGGCGGTAGAGATGTCATTAGCTGTCACCTCCTCTTTCACTTCCGCGTTTTATAATGTATTACATTATGCGGCCGCTGTCTTCCTAGTCTTATTCTTTTTTTTTTCTTTCTGTCTCTGGCTTTCATTTCTTTTCTTTTTTGGGGGTCTTTTCTCTCTTTCTTATTTTTATTTTTCTTTCTCTCGTCTTGTGTCTGTCTTTCTCTTTCTCTTTCTTTTTTGCGATTTTTGTTCTTGTTGTCTTTCTCTTCTTAATTATCAGTTATGTTTGTTCTTCCTGACTAATTATTTTTTCTTCTCCCAATCAGTAATTATAAAATAGATATATTGTTTTGAACTTGGCGCTGATGATACAATTACTAGTATTATAAATTGCAATAAATAATAATTGTGATGAATAATGCGTAATAATGATAATAATAAAAATGATGACTGATTATTCTGTAATAATATCAATAGTATAATTATGATGATACTAAGAATATTAATGATAAGAAAAATAATAACGATAATAACGATAATAGTAACAGCGATTATGATAATAACGATAATAATAGCAATGATATTAATGATAATAATAACAAAACTAATAGCAATATAGAGAACAACAACACAGACGATAATAATAAATCTACGGTAGAATTTAATTATATATTTTGGCAGACACGAGTTCCCGCCATGCCAAGAGTGACGTCACGTGTCATTGTACTTTGTGACGTCATCGCTTGAATATCTGGGGCGACGAGCTTAAAATATTTTAAGTGAATAGAGCGTGACATTTGTTAGTGATAATCATGAGCGGAATTTGTTGTTTTTTTTAGTGTTATTTCGATTTGAATATATAGGTTAGGTTAAATCCGTAATATACTTTTTTAGAGTTATTTTCGTTATTTTTTTTATATTATTCAGTTAACCCTGATGGCATTCCTTACATACTGCCTTGTTCAATTATCTCTTAGTTCATTAATTATTTACAGAGATGATTCCACAAATAAGGAGTCAATCAATAGTTCTTCCTATCTAACCTATTTAACCTTCCCTTTGATATTCGGAAAGTTTCATTCTGTACCATAGTATCTTAATGGTCATTACAGTTCCAATAACATTTTAATAATCATCATCTCAGTAGTGATAATAGCAGTATCGATATTAATGGATATTAATAGCAGTAGTTAAAAAAAAAAAGTTTCCCGCCAATTTCTCGCGGTCTCTGCTTATCGACTCCTTGGAGGACGGGCGCTTGTGGAGCCATCTGTTGGCAGCGACATTTACTAAAAAAAAACTTAATTCATAATTAGAAGGGGTCCGGATTTTCATTATCTTTTTTTATGATTTTGATGATTTTTATTTTTATTTTGATTTTTTCATTATTTTTTTATGATTTTGATGATTTTTATTTTTATTTTGATTTTTTCATTATCTTTTTATGATTTTGATGATTTTATTTTATTTTGATTTTTTTTTTTTTCATTATTTTTTTATGATTTTGATGATTTTTATTTTTATTTTGATTTTTTCATTATCTTTTTTTATGATTTTGATGATTTTTTCATTTTTTATCTTTATATTTTCATTATTATTATTTTGTTTTATTTGTGTGTGTGTTCTCCATAGTTTTATATCTACAAGTTTTCATTCCAATTGTAAATGTCTTATTGACTTTTGTTTCCAGTAATTTATATATAAAACTACACCTTACATATATATTTTTTTTCTTAAAATTTCAACCGTCTGCTGTCTTCCATTCTTTTTATCAATTACTTTATATCCACATTAAATAAAAATAATAATCTTCATCAGTCAAACTTGAACTTATCTCTCCAAGATCATCATAAGTCAATATCATTATTTCCTCCACAATCATCTTTATTACCATGAAAGATTTCCATCATAATCTTTAATCCTATTTATTTCCATTTCTCTATTTTCATAACATTTCACACCAGACCTCCATTTCTCTCTCGATTTCCATTCCTCCATTATCATCTTCCTTTCTCACCCACTTCCTCCTCGCCAAATAAGGGAATCACAACAAAAACAAACAGGTATTAAGTCTTCATATATTTTAATAAAGGAAATAATAGCATCAGCTTTACATACAACCTGAGCTCGAGAAGAAAAACGTCCCATGAATAAAACTGAATAAAAAGAATTCTTAAAAATGCATTTGGAAAATATATATATCCTTAAAATAATATAGAAAAAAATCGTAAACCCTTTTCTTTATCTCTTCATTTTTTTATACATATAACATATCAAACTGAAAAAAAAAAATAATAATGACATTTAACATTTACATCATTTCACATGTTTGGAAAAAAAAGATCAAACAACCAAAGTTAACATTTTCTTCCCCCCTTTCTATATATGCTTAAAAAGGGGGGGGGGGAGTTAATGGGGAGCAACTAAGGGGGTATTTGGTGTGGGGGGGGGGGGAAAGGGGGGGGGGACGTCCCAAACACTGGTACAAGTGACAAAAAAAAAAAAGTTTGTGGTGTATAAATATTTTTTTGACAATTTTTTTCCTCTTTTTTTATTTGTTTTGTTATGTTTCTTTCAAAAAAGTTTTAATACAAAAATAATGATGGGTTGTGAAAAAAATTGAGCAGTAACTATATTCGTAACGTTCTTTTTTCTTTCTACCTTAAGAGCTACAAGTGGTTCTTAGCACAATACCTCTATAATATATATATATACATGTACATATACATACACACACACATATATATATATATAAATATATATATATATATAATTTCAGAGTCATCTCCCTGCCGTGATGGAGGGAGAGGAAGGGGATCATGGGCGGGGGTAGGGTGGTGGGGGGGGATGGGGACACCACCAGCTCTCAAGACAATGGAGAGAGAGAGAGAGAGAGAGAGAGAGAGAGAGAGAGAGAGAGAGAGGAGGAGAGAGAAGAGAGAGAGAGAGAGAGAGAGAGAGAGAGAGAGAGAGAAGAAGAAGAAGAAGAAGAGAAGAAGAAGAAGAAGAAGAAGAAGAAGAGAAGAAGAAGAAGAAGAAGAAAGACACATGAATGGAACGAAGTGCTGGAGAGGAGGAGGAGGAAAGGGAACCATACATTATAACTCTGCGGCAGGACACGCCAGGCTTCGTTCACTAATTCCGTTATTTTTTTTTTCCCCGTTCAACAATTTGTTCCGGCGCAGTTCAACCGACGTTCGAATGTCAAAAAATCAGTACCAACCATACTCCTATATATATAGATATACATATATATATATACTGCCGCACGCACAAATGTGTATGCGCATACATAACACACACATGTACGTATTGTTCAAGTAAAACAAGGACTCGGATACAGAGTACATACACAATATGTAAGTACACATTTGTTGGCGGTTACATATATGGAAATACTATCACAAAAAAATCAAAGTTAAAGGCACATTTTTTCTTTCCTTTTAAAACTTTCACATAAAATGTCCTTTATGTGAAGCGAGGACAAACAATGAAACTAAATAACAATTTCTTTCCTTAAATTTTGAACTTCTTTTCAACCTCCATAACACGATATGTAACAAGCTCTCAACAAAAATATATATAAAATGGAAGAAGAAAAAATATATATACGGTTTACCACGGATGGTAAGAAAGAGAAAACGAGATAGAGAGAGAGAAAAAAAAATGAAAGAGAAAGAGGCGAGTAGGGAATTAAGGAAGAAGAATAAGAAAAAGAAAACAAAAAGGAGAGAAGAAAAAAAGATATACATACATACAACTATATAAATTTCCTCTTAATGCCCAAGAACAAGCTCTTTCTCGCCATATCAACGTGAATAATAATAATATCTATAATACCCAAAACGAAAGCTTTTTTTGAGTACAGTACCACTCATGAGCCACTTATGAGTCAGGTCCAAACACTGAATATTAACATTATTTTACATCGTCTTCGAGGAGAGGGAAGGGGAAGGGGTGGAGAGGCGAGGGAACGGAGGGAGAAAAGAGAAGAGAAAGGACGGGGAGATGAGGAGAGGAGAGAGGAGGGGACGAGGAAGGTGGGGGGGGGAAGGGTGCGAGTGAGGGGGTACTGTCCTAACACGCTGGTGGTGAGACATGACCTAAAATGACGCGAGGTTTAAGGTCCAGTGAGCGGGGATGATTGACCGGCGAAAAATGAGGTGAAGTGAGGTGAGGTGAGGTGAAGTGAGCTGTAATGGGGAGGAGGGGGGTCTGACTGATGATATCTCAGGCAAAAATAAAATGATAATAAGAAAACTGACGATGGAGGAGGGAGGCGAGGCGAACATGTGAAGTGACCGCGCGTGAGATGAAAACGGGCGAGGATGAGGATGAGGTGACTGAAAGGATATCTGTCTGACGATGAATATGGGAGATAAGAGTAGATGGTGATGATGATGACGCTCTGATGATAAATAACACAGATAAATAATTAAGCTAAGGGGTTATGTGCAGGGTGGGGGAGGAGGGGGCGAGGGGGAGGAGAGGCAAGGAGGAGGGAAGAAGGAAAGAGAAAAAAGAGGAAGGGAAAGGAGGGCAAGACGGGTAGGGGGGGTAGGGGTATCCTTAATCCTAATCATGGCAACCCAAGGGATGGCCGAAGGGGGTGGGGGCCAACGGCGGCACCCAGAAGCGACCCCTCGACCACCCACACAATGGCAACGCGCGCCCAACACGACCATGGAGATGGCATAACACAAATATTCGAGTGTAAGAGAAAAAATGTTCTTTTCCAAAATTTCCCAAGCTATATAAAGAAAAAGTGTAATAACTATAACAATAATGAAGATGATAAGTGCGTCCAGTCCGTTTCTCGTCGGAACAACTCCTAGCGTGGCTCAACAGCTCGGTTTCGGCGGAACCGACGCGGGTTAGACAGCGAGCGACCGCTTGCCCAAGGGAACCAGTCTCGTCCTTTTTAAACCTAAAGATTTGCATTCTTCTTATATACACGAAAAAGATTATAAAGTGAAAAAATCCTTTATTAATGATCAAATATATATCCTTTCAATAACAACAAAAAGTGATTAATCTACAGCAGCACCGACAAGGCCCCCAATCGGACCCTCGCCCCACCCCCTCCCTCGCCCCCGACGTGGGGAGGGGAGGGGGCGTGGCCCGGAGGGACGAAAGGGGGTGGGGGTGTTCCCTCTGCCAAGCTCCGCCCTCCGGAAACTACAATATGTCTAGATCACAAATGAATCACGCCAATGGATATTTACACATTTACAGGCCGGTCGCCGCCGGGCGGGGCGACCGGGAAGGTACTTCAGTGACCAAACCCTTACTGCTAAATAGAAATATCTACACGCGACAAAATCTTCTTGGATTTCAGACGAATAATTACAGTTACAGTAGCATTGATAATAATAATTATTAATTAATAATGATAATAATAATACCACGTAAATAAAACAGGTATATACAAACAGCGACCTTGCTTACAGAAAGACCCTTTGGATCCTACTTAGTCTGTGGGCGGAGCCACGCCGCCGCCGGCCCCTAGGAAGGCAGGGAGGCCCCGCGCGGCGAGGGCACCGCCGGGGCCTCGGCCGAAGGGACCCGCTGCCCGGTGCCGATGCCCGGCACGAAGCCTCTCAGCCACACCGACGCACACTCTCCGGCGGCGGAGGCGGAGGCGGAGGCGGCTACCGTCACTGCGCATCGAGACCCTTCTGCAGGCACCACTGTGGTCGGGGAGGGGAGAGGGGGACGGCGTCGCGCCCTCTCGCTAGGCCTACCAGCTACGAAGTGACTAATTACAGACGAACACCTAGGCGACGACGCAGTTAGTGTCTACTCTGCAGCGCCTGCAGCCGCCGCCGCAGCTCGCTCTCGTATCTCCTGAGGCGCTCCTTCTCCTGCAAGAGGCTCTGCTCGCGCTGCATCATCTCCCGGCAGTGCTCGGACGCCTTCTTCAGGATCTCCACCTTGGGCGCCTTCTCGCGGTCCTGGAGGTCGGGCACGCGCACGCGCAGCTCCTCGAAGGCGTTGCGCAAGTCCACGCGCCGCATGCGCTCCAGCGAGTTGTGCAGATGCCGCTTCTCGGGGTCGTCGCAGTCGGAGCGGGGCGAGCCGCGCTTGCGGCCCAGCGCGCCGCGCTCGTGCAGCCGCTTCGGCGTCTTGTGGTGCGCGTCGGCGCCCGAACACGCGGCCGCCCGTCTCAGGTGCGCTGCGCTGCCGGAGCCTCGCCGCTTCACGCCCGCTGCCATGGCGTGCTGCAGCTGCTTGCGCATGCGCCGCGAGGGGTTGGTGGGCAGGGAGCCCGTGCGGATCTTGACCACCTTCTTGACGGCCACCTCGGCGCTCACCGCCAGGCGCCGCTTCCTGCCGCTGTTGCCTCTCTGCGTCGACGCCTGGGCGGTCTCCGAGCTGCCCACGCTCACCACGTCGATCTCGTCCT